ACTGCCTGGACTAGTCCCTGCAGTTTTCTTGGCAAGGTTTTTTGGAAGTGGTTTGCCATTGTCTGCTTCCTAAGGCTGAGAGAGAGGGACTGGCCCAAGGTCACCCAGCTGGCTTCGTGCCCAAGGCAGGACTAGAACTCACCGTCTCCCGGTTTCTAGCCCGGTGCCTTAATCACTACATCAATGTGTCACTCGTTTAGTCTGTAAGGTTTTAACTGTTATCTGTGTGGATTTATGCATATACTTTTGATATTGTTGAGGGGAAGAAAAGTATGCGTTTGCATTTTATCATGACAATGTTTTCCTTTTGAGTTCAGGAATTTTATAGTTCTACTACTAATCCTTTTTTAGCTGTACATAGCTATCCATCTGACATGCTATTTTCTCCCTCCTGATTTTAAATTGTTGCTCCAAATAGGTCCTAGTTTAATTAAATATGTGGCATGGAGCAGGTATATCATATCAGTTTCTACTCTCTCATTATTGGTTATGGTGTTCAAAGGTAATTTCTCAGAGGTAAGCTAGAAATCTGTAATAATATAGCAAATTGCACTTCTCATGTTCACAAGACTCCTTGACAATGAATTTATGAATCTTTTTATGCATAAAAGAATAATAACTTAAAATATTGTTATAATACTGTCTCAGGAAAGAAAAAAAGGTATGTGCTTGCATAGTTTATTTATTTGTTTGTTTCTTTATTTTTGTTGTCCTTAGGGCTTCCAAGATTCATTACCCAGCCAGAGTCTGCATCTGTCTATAGAGGAAACCCCATAGTTCTTAACTGTGAGGTTAATGCTGATCTAGCACCATTTGTAAGGTGGGAGCTGGATCATCAGCCACTGTTTCTGGATGATCGTGTATTCAAATTGCCAAGTGGAACTTTAATTGTTAGCAATGCTACGGATGAGGATGGCGGAACATATTGTTGTGTTATTGAAATTGGTGGGTCTCCCAAATACAGTGATGAAGCAGAGATTAAAGTTCTTCCAGATACAGGCATGTGTGCTGAGGTTTTTCTCTCCTAGTTCTTTCTTGTGCATCACTAATAAGATTGTTTAACTGGTGTCAGAAATTGTAAAAGCTTGCTATTCAAACTTGCTAATTTTAAATGGATGCTTCTCTGGGTCCTCTAAAAGTCCTTATAAAAGTTTATTCTAAAAGTTTCAGTTTTCTTGCCAGGCTTCATACTGGAGTTCTCTTAAATATTAACAAAAAAATTTTATATACCCTTTTTGCAAGACAGATGTAGTCTTAGACTCCATGGCAATATAAGGCCAGTATTTATGCCCATTTCAAATACATTTGTTTAATACTAATTTGTTGTTAAATGTTGATTAGAAGCAAGTGAAAAGCTCCTTTTAGCACAGCATTCTGTTCAGAGTTAGAATATTATGCTGCCATCACTTTCCATTTAATTTAACCTTACATTTCCTGATCATATTATTTGCAGAATCTGAAATTGCTTCAGACTTGCTTTTCCTGAAACAGCCCTTTTCTCTTACCAAAGTTACTGGGCAGAGTGCAGTTTTACCATGTGTCGCTGCAGGCATTCCTGTTCCTCTCATCCGATGGACAAGAAATGAAGAAGAGCTTGTTACAGAAAAGTGAGTTTTAATTCTGATGTTACACGTGGAAGTTACAGAAAACAGTTACTGTTGGGAGATTGCTGGGTAACAGAGTGCAAAGAGCCAGCAGCCACTATCCCATATCATGGAAGCTGCTAAAAAGGGGACCTAACAACCACAAAAACGTTGGTGAAGGGAAGGAGGGTAAAATTTGGGATTGAGTTAAAGAAGCATTGAAATGGCAGCAGTAGGGCCTCCTTATTTCAAAAATGCATTATGCTGAGCCTGTGTGACCCCCAAGCAAATCTAGGAAAGAGCCCAGCCCCTTTAGGGAGCAACTGACAGGTCTTGGGAGGATGCCCATGCTGGATCCAAAGCCTGACCTGATCTGTGCAATCAAAGGCCTTGTTGTACTCAGTAAAACAGAGGCAACCCTTAGGTTAACTATCTGATCCTGGGTCATACGGCCATTTCTGAAATCTGGCTGTTCTATTTGGTATTTTTTGTTACAAGTACAATTCTACCTTTCTTAGTAAAATTGTAAGCAAAATTTTGCTTGCATGAGGACATCATTCAATAGTTCGATAATTTGCACATTCTCTTCATCTCCCTTCTTCAGTATAAGTATGTATACCTGGTTTTCCAATCTCTAGGCCATATAGTCTTGCTCAATATTTGATGACACAACTATGTATACTTTGGAAATATCCCCCCCCCCTTTTTTTTTTATATTCACACTCTGGTATCTTATATCTTAACATGGCTCAGTGCAATTTAGCTTTGTTCATTGGAGTTTTCATTTTAATTAGTGTTTTATGTGTCATCAATTATTAACTCTTTTTTGACATTCCTAAGCCTTGAATAGTTGCTATAACCATGTTGACTCGTATCACCTGTAATAACTAGTGCATCTGGTTTTCAACCAGAATGTTTTCAGTTGAATTTAAGAATTAAAATGATTTGATGGGAAGGACTTTAAAAATAGATATTTTGGCTTCTCAAGAATGTTGTAGATCTTTGTATTTTTTAAAATCTGAATCCTACATGCTTCAAAAAAATCACTCCACCAATATGTCTTGTTTTATACAGTTCTCACAAATTTATATTCCTGTCTGGGGGAACACTGAAGATAAATGATATCACTGAAGATGATACAGGAACATATACTTGCATCGCAGATAATGGGAATGACACTATTGAAGCTCAAGCTGATCTTACTGTGCAGGGTATATATATATATATATATATACTTTTTAAAAATGAAAAAGAAATTAGTGCTAATATAGTTGAGGTAGTAGAATTCCAAAACAAAAGATATTGTTTTGTTTAGCGGCAAAATAAGTTCAGCTATTACTACTGATCCTGTGTAATTGGGGAGAGCAGTGTGATTGAAGCAAGAGTATTACCAAGTTAAATTTATGACATTTCTATACAGAGTTGGGAAAGATTTCAGCCTAAACCAATGAAAAGGTTCTGCCTTGAAAACAATACACCATAGATAGATAAACTGATGGCATGACTTGTATAAGGCTGCTTCATTTATTACTTTGCATGGCTCATTGTCTTTTAGTTATTAGCAGGAGCTAATATCCAGCTGACATTGCTGCCTGGCAGCTGAAGATGAAGAGAATTTTTTTCTCCCAAGAGTTTATTACATTCTTTAATAGAGAAACACACATTATTTTCTGTAGTAAGGTGGATTATCTAGATGAATGTACAAAAAAATTGTGTAGTACATATACAGGTGGATAACCTTTTTGCAGTGGGGGGGAGATTCAAGTCAATCCTGACTCCTGGTGACTGCATGGACTTTTGGCAACATTTTTAGAAGTGGTTTGCCATTGCTTCCTTCTTCTTAGGGATGAAAGGAAATTACTGGCCCAAAGTCACCCGGCTGGCTTTGTGCCTAAGGCAGGACTAAAACTCCCAATCTCCTGGTTTCTGGCCTGGTGCCAACGCCAAACTGTCTCTCAAATAACTTTCAACCTCTGTAAATTTCCAATTTTCAATTTTAGGGTTCTGTATTAAAAGTTATATTAAGGAAGAGGAAATTGATCTGATCTCACTTACCAGATTTCCCCTGTAAAAATTATCAGAAGGTAGTTTTCTCTTTTATCACTGTAATTCAGGAAGTAACATGGAGACAGACAGATGAAGACAAGGTTATAAGTTCACTTTTCAGCTGGGGAATGTCAGCCACTGTATTTAACTCTCCAGGAGATTCCTGAAAATGGTATGACGTAAATTACATTGCTTTTGAGCTTCCTGGCCTGTCAGTTTCAAACATTGCAAGATTCTATCAAGTGGAATTTTTTTCCTTTTTTTCTTTTTAAATGACTGTGTTTTGAAAAAATGTAAATGTTATCTTGTTGTGAAACTGATAGCACACCTGATTACTCCTGCAGCCGGAGTATATAGACTGATTTAAAGACTATCTCAGTGCTAAAAATGTGATTGACTGTGTATGCATATGTGAGTTTAGAAAGTTGCTATTGCTCTCATTCATTAAATGAAATAAAGTCAAAGCCCTGATATCACATGTGGGTGGTTCCTGTGGTTTTTGCTTGACATCTGGGAAATCCTGGAGTCACTAGTGGCAGAATTATTTTAAAAATCATCCTTGCTATGTAATAAATTATTCTTGTCTTTAGAGAGTTACAGGATGGAATTATTGACAGATACATATCCAAAGTAGCATAGGGCTACTTTGTTCATCAACAATCTTCCTCTTTGTTTTAATTCTTTACAGAAGTCATTTAGAAGTACTTACAATTACTTTCTAATTATATTTAATTTTATGAAGAAGCATTACGAAACTTAAAACCAAGATATTAGTGATTGGAATCTTTGTGGAAAATGGTTTCTTCAGTAAGAGCTTTGCAAAATCCTATGGGACTAAAATATATGGCAGAGCAGTTGATATGGGAATATCTAAAGTATCTGTGGTAGTGATATTGATACTCAGGAGAATTGTATTTGATAGCTTCTAGATTTCAACTCGGATTTCTTAATAACTGATTTGTAATGCATTAATGAAGCTTTATGCCAGCTGGTGCTTTATGATAGAAGCAGCTTGCCACTTTTAGAAGAGTATTTTTAGAAATAGGCATTAAATTAATAGCAACAGTATAGATGCTTTTCCACTTTTTAATTCTGCAACAGTGGGAAATGTATGCATCTTCTGACACTTATCTGAAATTATTGATCTTATAATTAAAATTCGTTTGGCTAAAAGTGAAGGGGACATTTAAAAAAATAAATATCTTCTTTTGGCCCTGGAATGGCAAATTATTAACAAGTTATGAAAGGCAAGCGGGCTTGTGGAGACTGAAGGCAGGTATAATGATGTGCATCATAGTCAAGTTTCAACAGTACAATTCTAAGCATTCACGGACAGAACATATTTCAGATCTCTTTCTTTGAATCAGTTTTGGCACTGCTGAATAAAACATCACAGCTGCCTCTCACTTATTTCATACAAAACAAAATAATCTCCTTTGCCAGTCAGGAAAGGTCATTTGAGGGTGAAGTCTGAACATGTGCTTGAATTTAGGCGCTAAGAATTGTGTTACACTCATTAAAGCAGGATATTTGATCTTGATCTGCTGATAGATATAAAAAACATTGCTGAAAGCTTTAACTGGGATTTCAAACTTATTTCATAAGATACTTGCCAATGATAGGCAATACAAATGTAAGTTGTAAAGCTTGCCTTTGCTTCTCATAAATTTGCTTCTACTTGTTTAAAATATAATTTAGTAATTTTTAAAAAATCTGTTAAAAGTTTCCCATTGGTTATCCTTACTAAAATTGTATTGCTTGATTATTTGTTCTTATCCAATAACGGCTCATTTTTTGAAAGTATATTAGAATAAAGTTAGATTTCTTTGAAATATTTATAAATGAAAGCTATCATCTTGTCTGATCAAGCAATTTTTTGTTTGATCAATAATTAGTAACTGACCTTTCTCTCACTTTGAAGTACCTCCCATGTTTCTGAAGCAGCCTGCTAATATTTATGCACATGAATCCATGGATATTGTGTTTGAATGTGATGTGAGTGGAAAGCCAACTCCAACAGTCAAGTGGGTAAAGAATGGAGATGTGGTGATCCCTAGTGACTACTTTAAAATTGTAGTAAGTATATATTTAATATGACTTGTGGCCTGGTTTTATTATAACAAGCTCAAGCTAAAAGAATGCCAAATGGTTTGGATCACTAGTGTATTTCCCTAGAAAGTGCTGATATAACAATCTTTACTTTCAAATAACCCAGTCACAATAGTTTGTACCTAGATGGCTAGAACAGCCTTTTGCATTGTATTACTGTTTCTTCTCCTTAAAAAACTTGGCACACATTGAGAACTGAAAATATTTTTAGTTACACAGTTGATATGAACTGCTAAGATACTGAAAATTGTACCCATTCTACTTTTATATTACTTTGCAAAGAATACTGCCAGCAAATTCATGCTTGATTTTAAGGAGTGGGGAGGTAGGATTCTAAGGGAAAAAAGATCAGTTATATCCCCCTTTCAGTCCCCTCATTTCAGTCAAGTTTGAAATCCCAGACTGCAGTAAAATGTAAATAAAAAAGCAAAAAACAAAACAAAACAACAGCAAGAAGTTTATAACAGCAAAACCAAAGAGAAGAAAAGGCCAACCTATTTTTAGATAGAGTATAGCAACTGCTTCAGCTAGAAACAGACACTGGAGAGCAGCCTGTTGGAGGATATGGACTAACCTGCTATCCATGGTGCATTAAAGAATGCAATCAGGTTGTTAGCGTTGGAAGAAGAAATGACTTTTCAGTTTGGTTGCTTTATGGACATTGAACAGAAAGGGAGCATCACCTTTCCCTTTGCCTCAAGCTGCATAATGTCTTGCCCTGGCCTTGCTGATAGTACAGAACAGCTAGAAGTTGAACCCCAAAGGGAGATGAACATAAAGCAGCAGGAATTCATGCAGATTTGGCAATATGCAAATGACAGAAAGAAAAAAATAATGAAACACTCATTAAATGACTTCTGTCAGTGGTGAATGGTATAAATAGGGGGAGTGAAGATGTAAAAAACAACGAACAAAATAAGGACAAGTGAGAAAGATAAGGACAGGAAGACAATTGTGAATAAAAGTAACAAATATGCATACGCACACACATTTTTATAGTTTTTATTTTCAGAATCCTGAACAGGGAATAGAAGATCCTATAGTGAATACTGTATATCTTTTTTTTTTTTTAAAGAATGAGCACAACCTACAGGTTTTGGGCTTGGTGAAATCAGATGAAGGCTTTTATCAGTGTATTACGGAAAATGATGTGGGAAATATACAGGCTGGAGCCCAGCTGATAATACTCGATCATGGTAAGAAAGTAGAGTCATATATTGTTAAAATATAGGGCAGAATATCGAGCTATACTTTCCTCCCTATGGGGCACTCTTCACCGTGGATAGATACTCCTTGTTCTGCCTATAAATTAATCATTTGTAAAATAAAATGTCCAAATGATTTCTGCTTATGTTAAGTATGCAGAATATTTTAGCAACTTGTGTGATTAATCAAAACCTCACAGGTTGCTTTAATGTAGTTACAGTACATAAAATATAGATAGGGCCGATTTCTTCAAAATCATTTACTTTCATTAAAATCTGTTTTTGTGATAATTTGTGTGTGCATTTAAGTGTGTGAGTCTGGAGAAAAACAATATACAGAGAAATATGTACGCTTGCACGTGATATCTTATTGAAGTAGACTCATTGGTAAGAGGATACTTTTTATGTCGTAATACCATTGACTCCTGTGGCAATGTCGAGGATCCAAGCATATCCCAAACATACCAGAGATATGTGCATGAGGGGCATCTGTTTATCTGTTGTTTCCTTCAAGTCTACCACTGATCCAGTTTGTTCTGCTATCTTAACTTCATTCCTATGTCAGAATAGTTTTCTCATTTGATGCTTTCATATGATACACATTGTTACTGTCCGTGTATACCATCTTTTGAGACCAAAGTAATCCATATTGCATTTGGATCTAGAAGGTATGATGAAAGGTAGTCTTGATTTCTAACTGTCATGTTTACTGCAGTCTTTCTAGGAGCAGGCTGACTAAACATGGGGGAATCTTGTGAGCTTTTCAGTGTTTTATACTCTTTAAGAATAAGTTCTGAAAATTTGATAATGCCTCTCTGCAGCCTCCTAATCTCATCTCCCCATCTTCTGGTAGACTTTTTCACCTTTCATTCTTCTTGCCTGAATTTCTGTCCCCTTTTGTCAGATCTAATTCTGCATCATACACATTTAAAACCCTTCTGCTGACCCACAAAGAAACCATGTGCCATGACTTTATATATTCTGTCAAATGGTAGTAGCTACATTTACCTTAAATTTCAAGGATGCCTATTTCTTTTTATGTTTAATAGGTTTTTTAACAGTGCAGATTTTCTACTCATGGTAGTGGCATATTTGACTCTTTTGTGCATCCCTTTATTAACTAGCACAGACTTACTTGAAAAATACAGGACTCAATCTACAATTAACACATACCTTTTTAGTGTTCTATTATTATAAATACTTTCAAAATCAATACAGTTTATCTATCAAATGAAATTTATATCAGTATTTCTTCTTGGTGAGCTGTTTATTCATAGGTTTAGGAGAAAAATTGAAATGACCTATATTATACTATCGCTTTAAGGAGATCCATTGGTAATACATTGGGTATTTTTATTATTGATGGATAATATTCCATTCTTGCAACTATTTATAAGACAACCCTGAGGCTAGGTTTGTTGAAAAAGCTATAGGGGTCTGTATGAACTATGATTTACTAACCACATTGTTTGGGTTCATACATGATGCTAAGCTGGAACCAACCAACTACATTATGATTTAGCATGATATATGAACTCAGCCTGAGCGTTCAGAATCAATTTTGATGCTATACTTCTGAAGATTTCATAGTTCTCAAAAAGATAAATCTGTGTGTAACAGCTAGGTTTTAATGACGTAATTGTTTGTTGTCCTTCCTTCCATTTTTAAATTTCTAATAGAGCATGTTAGTGTGGCTTCTCTCGTTGGGTTTGTAACCTCTAAGTGAAAGAGGTGAGCATGTTTCATTACTGGATATGTGCAAAATGTTTTTCTGCATTATATTCCTCTTACATAAACATTGCTATCTTATCTAAAATACAGCATCACTTCTGGTTGGACTGGCAGGAAATGTTGCTTTCCTTTTTTAATGTTCTTTGCTGATGTATTGATGGTGACACACCTTTTTATTATTTGGGCATGATAGTAAAAAATAAAATGACTTCCTTTAAAACAAAATATTTCCCAAATATGGGAGGAGTGTTTTTTATTGCACTTTTATGATTTCCTTTAAAAGTTTGCACTGGAAAAAAATAAACATCCTAATCAAAATACTAATACTAATGGATTTGTCAGAGAGCTCAACAAGTATAGGTTTAACAACTTTAAACATCAGAAAAAGTTAACTGTCCAAAGTTTTAAATTATTAAAATTTATTTACATTTTCCACATCATTCAAGGATTATAATTATAATAGGCAGGGTTGGAATGTCAATAGATCAATACAGATTTGCAGTCTGAAATTGTAGGGTTCAGTCTTTTGAATTGGCAATCTCCATACACTTCCCATTGTTTTACAGCCAAGTTGTGTATATGCCACAAAAATACCTCATTGATTCAGTATTTGAACTTCCCTATTGTAATGTTTGGTATAAGTGTTACTATTCATCTCCTTAATTTTTTCCATCTTTTGTTTTTTCCCTTCAATGCCCCCCCCACTCCCTGTTTTAAAATTCATCTTTAATTTATCATTATGCCAAACCATTTTATATACCCTCTACATCTGTCAAGGAACTTGAATTGCTTCTGAAATTTGTTCCAGTGCACAAATAATACTGTGTCAATTAATGATTGCCTCCAGTTAATATTGTAAAATAACACTGCTTAAAGAAGATAAAAGAAGAAATAACCTAAGCCCTTTCCTGTTAACACATGTAAAGGATCCTATTCTAATTATGGTTGTTCAATATGATAGTATGAGGCAGAATATTACTGGCCTGTGTTGTGGAACAAAGTAATCATTCTGTTTTAGAATGGATGATCAGATTATGGAATTTAGTTATAATGACTTTGTTAATGAGTTTTTACTAGATTTAATGAAGAGGGATATATAATATGCAGTTTTAAATAATTTTTAATTGAATATTCTTCTTTGTTCAGAGCAATTAATTAAAATATAATTGTTGCATTAAAAAGAAAATACTGTTTTAAATTAGTCTGACCACTTTTGTATGACATTTCAGATTGAGGTATTTTAGATCGATAAAAAATAAATGTCCAAAATGGAATAGTACATAATTTACCAATATTTTAAGAAGTCTTACTGTGTTATCTTACCTTGTACGTTCTGCATTTCTGTCCTAGTTCTGCTAGGGATGGAAGCCATTATCACTCCTGTGATATCCTCCCCCCCCATGATAGTGGGGCCATATCAGTTTAATGCTAAATGCTGCAGAGTTCAAGTTTCAACTCTCCTAGCCAATCAGATTATTAAATATAGTTTATAGCTGAGTTCACACATTGCAGTATGCTGTGATGTGGTTGTTCCATTTTCATTTAGCATGACGGGTAGTCAGACATCTGGAGTATGCCGGACAATCTGGACGTTTCAGTTTGCCCTCTGTTGAACTTCGCCTTTGAGGGCTCACTGTGTTTCCACTTTTTTGTGGGGGGGCTGCCCTGATTCTGTCTTAGAGGTGATAAGTGTGTATGTACCTGCAGGCCTCATTCGGCTGGTCTCCCATAAAGCTACCGTATCTGGTCTGCAGAAAACAAAACAAAATGGATGGCAGAGGAACAGAGTACTCTAGCAGTTGACTGGGTTTCTTCTGATAGCCCTAGTTTTAAATAATTCAGTACATTCACACTTTCTGGTCTGATATGGATCAGAGCCTGATGGGTCCTTTAGGAAGGTGGGCTCAACCCTCGCTATGGATATCAGCAGTAGAATATGCAATTCTACTGTATTGTTAGACAACTTAAAATATGCATAGAAGAATCAGTAAATTGAATCTGAGGGTGCATTCTTATTGCAAGAGGTACAACCTTGTGGTTTAACTTTACTAATGAAAATGAAAAGTCTTGTTCAGGTCCATGCATTTGATTGCAAATTGAACAGGTGGTTTTCTAAAAATTAACTACTACACCATAACAAAACTTAATTGTCAGAAACTAATGTTTGAATTATGAAATTATACTTTATCTGTAATTTTCATCCTACCCTTCCTTCTCACTTTCATTATAATGGAGATTTTTGATTGCTTGTCCAATAGTGACGTCTCCTTGATATTTCCCATTAGTTTTCAGTAGTTACCTTTTTGCCTGCATGCCAACCTTCAGTTTAATGGCCTTTTTTGTGTGTTCATTTTGTTTTGTTTTCCATCGTGGTTTTGTTTATTTCTTTTTTTGGTTTTTTTCTGTTTTCTCTTTAAATCGTCGTGATGTTTGCCCTTCATATTCCCCAATGTTTGCACATGACAAGATGTTGCCATCCCAACATTACCTCCCACTTCACTGACCAGTGCCACTACTGACCATCTAGCACCAGCTACAAGTGGACCCTTGCCTTCTGCCCCTCGAGATGTTGTGGCTTCTCTTGTATCTACTCGCTTCATCAAGCTAACATGGAGGACACCTGCATCTGATCCACAGGGAGACAATCTTACCTACTCAGTGTTCTACACCAAGGAAATGAGTAACAGGTACGCTTACTTAAATCTTGTTAATCTGTGTGAAAATTTAGGAGAAATATTGACATATACATTTTATACTCTTGTTGCTGAAATATATATTTTTTAAACATGCATGAAATACAGATTTTGCATTGTAGTTTATGTATGAAATGTAATGCACACACATGCACACACCCGCATGAATAAGCTGTGCATTCTTTTTGAATAGTTCATTTGTCTCCGCTCTGCAACACATGATAGAGTTTGGAAGTATTCTTAAGCAGAAATAGTTTATAAAGCATCAGAGATGTAAACTGAGATTTTGGGAATGCCCTACAAATTCAAAGGTGAATGCACTTTGCTTTTGTCGCTGATTATTAATTTTAAGATTAAAATAGTAAACATGACCATTTGGAAATAAAATCCGTTGGAATTACTGAGCTTCAGTTTGTGCAGTTAAGTAATTGTAAACGAAAGACGGTATGAGTACAACTTTTAAACGTATTGAGAAAAAAATAACTAATGGAGCAATAAAAGATTATATGAAGAATCAGATATTTACTTAAGGCAGAATCTTAAAAAAATATGTGGATATTATTGTTAATTCCACATACTTAAAAAATAATAGGCCAATAGGTGAGGTCATATTATGCAAATTTCTCACTATGTGGCATCTTTTGTCATGGCTGTATTAAAAGTTGGGTGTCAATTACTTGAAGGCCAGGGTAGTTGTAAAGGAGTTTATCTTACTTAATCTAGTACTCCACATTAATTCAGTGAATATTATTTTACTTGTTTGGCGTCTTTTTGAACGTAAACCTATGGCTGCACAGTTAATCAGCCTAGGTTAACACTGAAACAGTATTCATTTTATCCATCTCTGATGATCCTATTCTAACATATCATAAAAAGATTATTTGTACAATTGATTAACAACTCATTGGTTAAATAACATAGTAGTACCTCACTGAAGCGATCAGCTGGTTTCTGTATTGTTATTTCTATTTTGTCTTGATTAAACTTTTCATGCTATGTGCAGGTTGTAACTCTCTCTGAAGTTTGTTGCAAGAGTAATAGAACTGAACAATTCTTATTTTTCTTTTTATATCATTTATTGCAAACACATGTACTTAGAGCAAAGTTACAACTCCTAAGAAGTTGTAACTTATGCTGACTTGTTAGGATAATGGTGTATTAATACGTTATATAGTTTTCATAATTTCTTGCTTATGTGCATTAAATGTTATTGTCCATTTTTGATGTCCTAATAAGTCTTATTTTATGTGCCCATTTCCATTCCAAACACTTTTTTATATAAAGGGAGCGTGTTGAAAACACAAGTCATCCTGGGGAAATGCAAGTGACAATTCAAAACCTGATGCCTGAAACAGTATATATTTTCAGAGTGGTAGCACAAAACAAACATGGACCTGGGGAAAGTTCAGTGCCATTGAAAGTAGCCACACAACCTGAGGGTAAGCATTAAACGTTTGTTAAGGCAGATAATGATAAAAGTGTCTCTGTATGTTTCATAGAATAGTTTGCTGTTTACTTTGATCTTGTAAGGTTTTGTTGAACTTTTATTATTTTGTAATATATCCTGCTTATTATTTAGTTCAGCTTCCAGGTCCAGCCCCCAACATTCGTGCATATGCTAACTCTCCCACATCAATCACTGTTACTTGGGGTACACCTTTATCTGGCAATGGCGAGATCCAGAACTACAAGCTATATTACATGGAGAAGGGAACAGAGAATGAGCAGGTGAGATATGTTATCTTAGCATACATGTTAGGAAAAGAATGTTTATAATACTTGCATATTATGATCTATAGTAAAGTCATAATTTCAGCCTCATATGGACTGACTGAGCCTATTAAATAAATTAACAAACCCAAATTATGGTGATTTATACATCATGATTTACATCTTTTCAAATAGGATGTTGATGTTGGTGGTCTTTCCTATACAATAATTGGCTTGAAAAAATATACAGAGTATAGCTTCAGAGTTGTGGCCTACAATAAACACGGTCCAGGAGTCTCTACTCAAGATGTTGTCATTCGTACACTGTCAGATGGTAAGTGTCTTCTAATTGCAGAAATAATGCAGATGTATTTATTTACATTCTATATCTAACAGATTTGATTTGGCTTCTTCATATTGTGTAGATCGAAATAAGAAACTTGTTGCACTGAAATTTCTTGGGAAAAATTACATTTTCTTGGGTTTTCCCTTGCATTTTCTCTATTTTACCATTTTGTCTTCTATTTTGGCATTGAGAGAACTATTTTGAGAGACAGTATCTATCTTTGTTTCTATCAATATAATTATCTGGCTAAGCCTCGCAGACACTACTCTGAAAATGTATATATTGGCACTATATGAATATTCAATGAAATTGATAGATCATGGTAAAATCCACTTGCATTATATGCAGAGAGCTATAATTCATTTTTAATTTACACTAGGGATACAGTGCTCTCTGTTAGATGTTCATGGTAAGGAGGCCATTTTCTAAACAATTTGGTCCCAATTCACTGTTCGCCATTCAACTCATTTTATTTTCAGAGTAAAGAAGATGATGATGATTGACTGCTGGATTGAGATTTATAAGACAGTGAAGACAGCTAATAGCAGTAAAGATAGAAGAGGAATAAATAGTATAACTTAGGTCAAACTGAAAAAAACTGATTGCTATTTGCTAAAACATACCGTATTTTTCCGACAATAAGATGCCCCCACGTAC